CGTTTGGCGCGGGGGGGTTTGGGGGGGTGGGGGGTGTCTATGCCACTGTTGAAGCCAAAGGAGAAACCCTGGGTGGTTTTGGGGAGGATCAGCTTGTGGGACCTTGGTGTCCCCCTCCCAGGTCAGGAAAGCCCCCCGCCACCCCAGTAGCCTCTGTCGCAGGCAGTGGCAACCCCTGCTGGCCCTTTGCTGGGCAGGGGTGGCCTCAAAAAGGCCCCTGCCTGCACCCCAAGTGCCTCTGCCCCTGCTGCTGCTGTAAATACTGTAAAAAAGGATGTCAGATGCTGTACAGATGGGATGTATTTTTATGAACAGGAGTTGAAGTCTCTGTGCTTCCCTGTGTCTGTGTGTCCAGCCTTTTTCCATGGGCTCTTCCCTTCTCTGTGGCCAGTGGGGATCAGAGAGATGGGGCTGGGGGTGGGGGGAGACCTTGGGGAAGCAAATTAAGGAGTGTTTGTCTGCCTGAAGGGGGTGAGGAGGGGACCCCCCCCGGTCCTCCCTGCCTATGCTGAGGTTTGCAGCTTTGGATTTGTTCCCAATGTGCTCGGAAAGCCTGGAGCGGGTGTCCGGGGGTCCTGCTGCTCCATGGGTGCCGCTGCTCCGGGGGTCCTGCTTCCTAACGGGACGTGCCCTGGTGATGCTGCCTCTGGGTACTGCCACCCGCAGCAACCCCCGGAGCCAGTCCTGGGGGACGTGGGTTTGCAGCCCTCTGGGTCCCTGCGTGTCCCTGGGGGGTGGGTGGCTCGGAGGGGCAGGCAGGAGGTGCTGTCGATGAGGGAAGGGCTCAGGCGTGAGATCAACCTGGGGGCAGCCGAGCTTGGAGTGAGATTTGGCAGTTGTAAGGGATGCTCAATCCACCCCTGGGGTCCCCTGCTTCCAAAGCTGCCCAGCGAGTGGTGGGATCACTGGGAGGAGCCCAGGGGAGAGGAGGAACGTGGCACCCAGGTCGTCCCCGGGCTGCCAGCGCTGCTCTGCCTTCCCTCTGATATCCGCGTGGATCAGGGCCACGTGTGGCTCTGTCGCAAGCCTCTGAGCAGGAAAGAAGACGGTTTTAGCTTCTTCCCTCACTCCTTGGCCCATGGGGTGCTGATCAGGAGGATATGGGTCATGGAATCTGTCAGCCTGGGGCTTAGCACTGCCCCCGAAGTCTGCTGAGCTGATTAATCCTGCGAACTCCAGCACCAGGCTCTGAGCAGCCCCCAGCGCTGCCCTGGGCCAGGCAGGTCACGCGTGGGGACGCTTTCTGCCGTCGCCCTTCCCACGCTGCGTGACGTGGCCACTGATCTGGCTCCCAAAGGGACACCCCAGCTCCCTTCCCCGGCCCCATCGAGGGGCAGCCAGAGGATGGGGGCGAGAGCAGCGCCTCGGGGGCGCCCGTGATGCTTGGAGATGCGCCCATGATGTTTGCCTGCGCCATGGGTGCTGCAGCACCCCGCTCTGCGGGGAGACTCAGCCCACATCAAGGGGCCCAGGGCAGCAGGAGCTGTGGGGACCGTCCCTGCCGCGCACACTGGTGATGGCAGCCACCCCAGCGTCACTCGGGACATTGCTTTTTTTTTCCCCCTCTGAGTCACCCCCCGCAGGCGTTTCGCCCTTGCAGTCTGGCTCTGACTCTGCTCTATTCCACCTACGGGCCCCTGCTGCCTCCGGGCACCGCAGGCGCTGCACCGGCCGGTGTGGGACGGGGATTTTGAGCAGACCACCCCCAGTCCTCCCGACAGCGTGGTCTCTGGCTGGGTCGTGGTGCCGCTCGGTGCTGGGCTGGGGAATCCCGCGCCGTTGCCTTCCCCGGGTGCTGCTCGCCGGCTCCCACCAGCGCGGCGCCTGCAAACGTTGCTAAGCAGCTGCAGATATAAATACTTGCAAACCCCAAATCTGCTGCGGCTGATACACCCCTGCAGCAGAATGACAGACTCAGTGAAGCTCCGGGGGGGGTGTTGTTTGTTGTGCAGGTTGCCAGGAGAAGGGTTGGGGTTTCACCCGGGGTTTTCTCCAGCCCCTCCATTCGGGCAGGCTGCGTGGGTGCTGCCCGTGCCCCCAGGCTGAGCTGTCCCACGCCGCGCAGGATCCTCTGCAGGGCTTGTGGCACCTCCTGCACCCAGGGATACGGCTGTCGGCATCTGCTTGGGTTGGTGCTGAGGGGACGGTGGGGCTGGCACTGAGCACCCCATGGTGCTGGTGCTGCGTGTGGGTGACGGGGTGACGTGGGACCTAACGCCAGCACTGTCCTGCACAGCCTGCACAGACAGCAGCAGCCATGGTGATGCTCAGCCCACCCCCCCAGGACGGACCCTTTTGGGCACTGGGGCTCCAGCAGGTCCTCTGCTGGGACAGGGTGGGGGATTTTTCTCCTGGAGACCCCATGTAGGGGCTGGGGACACGCCAGGGTGGCACCGAGATGTGGCTATGGCATCCACCAGCCCATGGGGGGGCAGTTGTCCGAGGGCTGCTGTGCAGCCTGGGGGGACCAGCCCACCCCCCCAGGACGGACCCTTTTGGGCACTGGGGCTCCAGCAGGTCCTCTGCTGGGACAGGGTGGGGGATTTTTCTCCTGGAGACCCCATGTAGGGGCTGGGGACACGCCAGGGTGGCACCGAGATGTGGCTATGGCATCCACCAGCCCATGGGGGGGCAGTTGTCCGAGGGCTGCTGTGCAGCCTGGGGGGACCAGGAATGGGCTGCCCAGGGAGGTGGTCGAGTCCCCATCCCTGGAGGGATTTAAAAGAAGGCTAGATGAGGTACTTAGGGCCAGGGTTGAGTGGGGGGATGGCAGTGCTAGGTTAATGGTTGGACTTGATGATCTTAAAGGTCTTTTCCAACCGAGATGATTCTATGATCACCACCTCCCAGCCATGCTCACGGGGCGGCTGAAAGCCCAAGAGCAGGGAGGGCTGAGGCTGCCCGAGGCGGTCGGGGGGGAGGGGCGGGGG